GAGAGAGAGAGAGAGAGAGAGAGCTGCCCATGCTCTGGCCAGCCTAAAAGCTCCTTTCTAGGAAAGGATATTTTCTCCAAAAATCTCTTATATTACCGCAAATGTAACAGAAATATTGTGCAAAGAAACAGAGAAAGAGAGAACAGCCATGCGGCCTTGACGGATCCTTACTCCTCATTAACATGTCAGTCGTGGACCCAGCAGGGTACAGAGAGCTACACAAACAGAGAGTGTTCAGCTGGCTGCCTAGAGAAGGGCTGCGATGCTGCTGGAGATTCGTCAGGCAGAAGAATGTTAGACGTGCAGGATAAAATCAGAGGCGTCAAACACAAAAGTGAGATGAAGATGAGTGCATGGGACATTCAATGTGGATTTGGATTTGAGGAAAGCTCATTCAAAAGTGGTGCAAGACTGTGAGGAACATGGAGACTCTTCAGTACCATCTGATCTTGTACTCAGAGGACTTGCCTCAGTCCCAGTTACTGTCAAAAAACATTGGCTGTTATCAAAGGCAGCCCTAAGGATTTTCAAACAGAACAATTCTGTAAGGGGTCTGAGGGGCTCATCATGTGTACTGAGATAGTGAAATGTGTGAGGTTTTTATCAGGGTGGAATCATCATACAATTACTTGTAACTAGGACTGTACCCTCAAGGGTCTGCCAATTATACCCTAGCTGCAGGTAAATGTACCTCAATCTAATGGTACAGAAATCGACTCTGAGGAACATTTTTTGCACCTTGGGGAATAAAGTGTCCATTACATATGGAAGATGCATGGATGGATGGATGGATAGATATAGATTTATGAATAACTGCTGAGGAAGATACCTCTGTTATACTGGAACTGGAAACAATTTGAGCAAAAGCTTTCTGCACAAACCATTTTAACATTTACTCTTCCCCCCGGAAAGGCTGTCGTATCCTGTTTTTTTCTGACAGTGTAAAGAAAAGTTTCTATTTGTAATGGTGGATCAAAACAGAATGTTCTGGAATGATGAAAGAAATGGACATCCATAATTATTCCTACAGATTATCATCAGAAAGGACATCCTCAAATGCCACATAGAGATGGTGTGCTCATGAGCGATAGGCTGCTGGTTCAAATCCTGTGGTGAGCAAAGAAATTTCACCGTTGGTGCCACGAGCAGATTCTTCTCCATGAACTCTTCCAGGTCTGCTGGACCCCACTATTTCTGTTGTATTATCATTTGGATAAAAGCCCATTTTTCAGGGTTCACAGACTGTCATGCGCCAAATCGTATCCGGCCACCTGCCCCACCACTCAGCAAAATGAATCATGGGGGACAGCTTGCGAAAATTCATTGAAAGTTTTTTTTAATGTATGAAAAAGCATCCACTGAATAAATAAAATGTAAATGATCTGATAAAGAGAGAGAGACAGAGGGAGAGAGACTTGTGTGTCATAGTGGCGGTGGAAAGAAGCAGTGGACAGAAATATAAAATCATGAAGAATGGAGGGATTGAGGCATTTATTTTAGTCAAACAGAGATGAGAGGGCCTTTGTGTGCAAAGAGATAAGACTTACAACTTACAAATGGATGAATACAGCGTTTATCAGCACATGAAGGTGAGGATACAAAGAAACATACATTAAATCTGCACATTAACTTTCTGCCTTTTCCTGCTTGCATCAAATGTTTACAGCATTTGATTTTCAAATGTTTTTATAGCTCAGAAACAGCTGTTTATAGTATCTGTCAAATTCATTCATTGAGTAACCATAATGTTACAGTGAGCGTGTTTCTCTCCTGCATTCAGTGTGTTGCCATTGAAATGGTTGGTGCATGAAGGTGACCTTTGTGACTAAAGTGACATCAGGTGCTGGCTGTACCTGAGAGCTGGCCTCTGAGCCTCAGGAAGCGCTTAGCTGACATTGTGCCATTTAATGCCCTTTAAATGACTAAAGATGGTAAAAAAAAATATCACTCATGACCTGATGAGAAAATGCCAGGAGGAACTCGCCACTTTGTGTTCCTTAATAGGCTGGAAATGAAGGACATTTGGAGTAGCTAAGAGAACAAGGTAACATCACTTCCTGTCCAGATTGTGTTAGTCATGTCTTATTAGTCTTTAATCTTTATTCAAGAGCTGTGTGTGTGTGTATGTGTGTATATATATATATAGAGAGAGAGACAACAGCAAAATGCAAACAATAAAGGTTTCTTTGGTGTAAACCAAGAGTACTTCACAATTGCTGTGTGAAAATTAGAGGGGTTACAACAAAAAGAAGATAGATTTTGATAATCTATTGGCAGTTGGGGCAGAAACTCTCATATACTCATATGGGGCAACACTTGCGCTGCCAGACGCAGCCAGATATCTGCGCCCTCAGAACGGTTGTAAAGTCGATCAGTCATAAGTCATATAGGTCAACAACAACCTGTAGTATTTTTTAACAGTGTAGCATTTCGCCACTACATCGCTATTTGAAAAAATAATTGTTAGTTACTGGAAAAGCTACAGCGTTTTAAAAGTAACTGGGCTACTAATAAGCTGCTGAAAAAAGTAGTTCAGGTAGTAGCGTCACTAATTGTAGTTAGCTACTTCCCAACGCTGATATTTATATACAGTGGTACCTCAGTTCTCGAACTCATTAGAACTCGAATTTCTTAAAAGTCGAACCAACCAGTTAAAAAAAAATAACCTAGAACTGGATCTGAATCTCAGAAGTCAAACCGTGTACGCCGATCTAAGATAACTTGTACACGCGGGGAAATGAGTCATACGGCACGTCTCTCAGTGGAAAAAAAGGGTAACGCTTCAGTCTCAGCCTCGCATTTGCTGCGATAGCATCATGCATGTTTACACTAGCTGAATACATATATTTATACAGTAAAAATACATTTAGACAATGATGGACAGTAACAGTAATTATTATTTTATAATAAAAAATATTTAAAAATAAAGATTTATTATTAATTATTTTAATATTAATAATAAACCATTAATACATTTAATTATAATAATATTGTCATGCCCAGCGGACGGAACAGAGACAAAGGTGCAGACGTCAGGGTATCGGGGAATATGGGGTTTAATTACAGGTAAGGCAGGCAAAACGCAGACAGACAATACAATGACCGGGCTGGGGAAACAAACTGAAACACGGACGAAATACAGAGGGCTAATGAAAACAACCTGAAACAGCTGATCACACGGGAATTCCAGACGGGGTTAACGAGGGGGCATGGCACACGGAAGGAGCGGACGATCGGGGCATGACACGTTGTTTTTTTTTTTAACTTTACACATTGTTTGGATTTATTTTCTTACTTTAAAAATTACTGTTTTGATAAATTTGCTTAGATGTTTAGTACAGTATATTGTTTTGTCCAGTTCATTTTGTGTTTAAAAAAACATATTTAGGTGTAATTTTTTGGGGACGGGAACCAATTAATTGGTTTTCCATTATTTCTTATGGGGAAAATTCGATCAGAACTCACACTTTTTAGGATTCGATCCGGAGTTCTGAACGGATTAATTTCGAGTACTGAGGTACCACTGTATATGAATGAGTCATGTTGAAGTGCACACAGCATGTCCTACCTTCATGAGAGTGACGACATAAGAGAAAGAGAGAAGCCAGAGGTGATGGAGTGATAATTGTTCTGTGCTCTATACAGGGAGTGTGTGTGGGGGGGGGGGGATGTTATGAAGTTGAGGTATTAGCCTTGGTCTTTTCTGAGACTCAGTGAGTGTTAACATCCAATTCATGGTGGCTGTGTGAAATTACCTGCCAATGAAGGAAATGGCCTTCAGCAATCTCTAAGCTCACCATAGTGTTTCTGTTGGAATGTGTGTTTGTGCACGCGTTAGTGTGCTTCTGTGAGTCCCCACAAGGTGATAAAAAGCCAGATATTTTGACATTGTGGTGAGCATTTCTTCAGTCTGCATAAGAGGAAAATGAATTTTACAAAAATCTGAGACTGCAGTCAAAAAACTTCAATAGTCAAAAGTCTTGTATTTTGTTTGGTTACTTATGGTTAAGGTTTTGGCTGGGTAGGGGTTAAGGTCGTCATATTGGGATTACAGTTTTCCCCCATAGAAATGAATGGAGAGTCCCCACAAGTACAGATAATATATAATTATTCCTGGTTAGGCTCAGACCCACTAGGACCCAAAACTGGATACACAGGTATGGAAGATGCATGGATGGATGGATGGATGGATAGATATAGATTTATGAATAACTGCTTAGGAAGATACCTCTGTTATACTGGAACTGGAAACAATTTGAGCAAAAGCTTTCAGCACAAACCATTTTAACATTTGCTCTTCCCCCCGGAAAGGCTGTCGTATCCTGTTATTTTCTGACTGAATGGTGTTTATTCTGGAAACGGCGAGTGACTAACAGAGCAGACTGCAGGTTTGTGCGGAAAAGCACTGAAAAGCAGTGATGCTAGAGGGCATGACCATATGATTCACAGGTAAGGAGGGCATTACGCCTCGGGAAATGGGAGGCTGAGCCTGCAGGTGACAAGCTGGGCGTCCCTCAAAGCAACAAATCAAAAACCGATTAGCTCCGTGTGTTTCACTAAAGGAGCCAATCGCTACCTTCTTATCTCACTGGTGGGGGTGCACAGTGTAAGGCTGTTAGCATCATTGGAATCTGCCATGCTGAACTCCTTTGGGTCCTGTTTTTCACTGGGGGGCGGTCATGCTCTCATTCTCTGATCTGAGTCTATCATGAAAACTGCAGTTAAACCAGCCACTAAGCTGAACTAATCAAACAAGCTGACTATTAGCTTGCAAGGCCTAAGTTGTACTCATCAGATGTACAGAACCAGCATCGGTCCCTGACCTGATCACTACACTGTAGAGACATTTAAAATTCAGGTCTTGAGGAATAAGATTTGAAATTAATAGTGAGAAACTTTTTTCCAGTGCAGTGATCCCAAGCAGGGTGCATGTACAGGGCCCACGCCAGACACACGCCAGACACACACACAAACAAAGGAGAGTATATTGTACAAGCCAGAAAAATATAGTGGTTTATTGAGCTGCTGACCAGAGGGACATCAGCAGAGATCCCCTCACTAACAGTGATACTCTGAGAGCTGTTGGTGGTCACAGGGACCCTCATGCTCCTTCCCTGTAATGCTCAGTGTTTACAGGCAAAGTTAAACAGCTGCCATTCACATACTGCCAGGCAATGAGGACAATAAGATATAAAATGACAGGAAAAAGCAGAGGAGCAGAGGACAGTAGTGTGGCTGTCCACCCCCTGCCTCACCAGGGGCCTATCATGTGGGCATGAGAGCGTGTTTGTGCGTGATAGACTGCGTCTGCGTGTGTCCATGCACATGCCAGTGTGTGAGTGTGTGAAGTCCCCTTGGGGCCCCTCTACCCCTCTGCATGTGAGGGCCTTGTGGGGCCCCTATCCCCATCTACATGTGAGGGCCTTGTGGGGCCCCTATCCCCATCTACATGTGAGGCCCTTGTGGGGCCCACATCTCCATCTACATGTGAGGGCCTTGTGTGGCCCCTATCACCATCTGCATGTGAGAGCCTTGTGGGGCCCCTATCACCATCTGCATGTGAGAGCCTTGTGTGGCCCCTATCCCCATGTGCTTGTGAGGGCCTTGTGGGGCCCCTATCACCATCTGCATGTGAGAGCCTTGTGGGGCCCCTATCCCCATCTACATGTGAGGCCCTTGTGAGGCCCACATCTCCATCTACATGTGAGGGCCTTGTGGGGCCCCTATCCCCATCTACATGTGAGAGCCTTGTGGGGCCCCTATCACCATCTGCATGTGAGAGCCTTCTGTGGCCCCTATCACCATCTGCATGTGAGAGCCTTGTGTGGCCCCTATCACCATCTGCATGTGAGGGCCTTGTGTGGCCCCTATCCCCATGTGCATGTGAGGGCCTTGTGGGGCCCCTATCACCATCTGCATGTGAGAGCCTTGTGGGGCCCCTATCCCCATGTGCATGTGATGGCCTTGTAGGGCCCCTATCCCCATGTGCATGTGATGGCCTTGCTGGAGTTCCTCTCTCCTTGTGTTTGTAAGGGCTTCATGGGGCCCCTCTCCCCATGTGTGTGTGAGGGTCTTGTGGGGCCCCTATCTCTGTGTGCGTGTAAGGAACTCATGGGGCTCCTCTCCCCAAGTGTGTGTGAGGGCCTTGTGGGGCCCCTCTCCCCATGTGCATTTAAGCGCCTTCAAGGGCCCCTATCTCTGTGTGCCTGTAAGGAACTCATGGGGCTCCTCTGTCCATGTGTATGTGAGGGATGTGGGGCCCCTCTCCCCATGTGTGTTTAAGTGCCTTGAGGGGCCCCTATCTCTTTGTGCCTGTAAGGAACTCATGGGGCTCCTCTGTCCATGTGTATGTGAGGGATGTGGGGCCCCTCTCCCCATGTGTGTTTAAGTGCCTTGAGTGGCCCCTATCTCTGTGTACCTGTAAGGAACTCGTGGGGCTCCTCTCTGCATGTGCTTGTGAGGGCTGTATAGAGCCCTTTTCCCTGTGTGTGTGAGGGCCTTGCAAGGGGGCCCCTCTCCCCATGTGTGTGTGAGGGCCTTGTGGGGCCCCCTACCCCCATCCTATATGCTCTCCTCCTGCTCGGCCTCGGCTCCACGGGGCCCACACGGCGCCTCCTTCAGCGAGATGTCGTCCACATGTCCAGCGCTCTCGTCGCGCTCCTCGGGGGCAGATGCGGGCAGACTGTCGCCCTCCGAGCCACTGAGCACGCAGCCCGGCAGGGCAGCCTGGGTGGTTGCAGAGCGCCCTCCCCGGCTGCGGTACACCTGGCTGGAGAAGAGGGCGGTGGAGCGGGAGACAGCGGCCAGCTGTGATTGGCTGCCGGCACTCTGACTCAGGCTGGTCAGCACAGAGCCGTAGCGGTATCCCCCACACCGCACCGGGGCCGTCCAGTCGAAGGCCAGGTTCCACCTCGTCCACGTCTTCTTGATCTCCGTCTGGACCTGAATCGGGGGTGGGGGGAGGCACATACAGCATCTACCTTGTTTACAGTGTGAGGAAGCACAAACCAGCTGCCAGAATTAGCACCACCTGAGATCTTAATTGCCTAATTAAGTTAAAGGTGTCATCTGGGGGTGTCACTACTCTCCAGTGAGGCACTGGCAGTCAACAGAAGACACAGATGCAGGAGAAGATACAGAGGAAAGTGTCACGATGTTAACGGGCCCCCTGGTCTCGTATCGACACAGAAGTGTGGGGTGTGCATAGCGACCATTCTCAATTAAGGGCCACGTGGTGTCTGCGTGGGGGGGCAGCTCATGTGCTGGATGTGGGACTGGCGTCTCTCACCTCGCCGTTGCAGTAGCAGTAGATGATGGAGACGAAAAAACCCTGAAAGAGAACATGGGGGGGGGGGTCGGCAGTTAGCACACAAGACTGGGAGGCATTCTGCCCGTGACTCACAGAAGCGACTGGACAGAAGCGACCTTTCCAGAAAGGTGGCCTTGACAACTGAAAGTTGACAAGTAATGAAGCTGCTCATCGGCAGGTGCCGGAGAGAGGGGGTGAAATGTGAACGGCATTCCCGTCTCCGCCATAATACTCCGCGGGACCAGATAGGGCGCTGAGAGGGGTGACAGACCTTTCTAAAACATATTTTAAATTCAAGGCTACAACAGAGTAAAGTGAATAATCAGATTTGATTGTGAATGACTCAGCGTACCAGGTGGCTGAGAATTTTAAGTGTTTCCAACATACGATCAAACGCTGCAGAGGATCCTTCTTTTATAAATGAAATGGCTCGGCCGATAGGTGAAGCATGTTTTACGACACGTGACAGTGAATATCCAGCCCAAATGCCGTGTGCCTCTACTCAGCTCTGCCTTACAAAAACAGGGGAACTTTCTTGAGAAGTTTTTATGTGAGGAGGAAGAATGTGCTGGAAGGAATACAGCCAATAAGGAAGCTCCAGCAGACCCGGAGGCAGATGGGCTCACAGCTAAAAAGACCGTGTTTGAGAAGAACAGCACGTCCTACGCTGATGTTTCTGAGCTGGACTTCCCTGCAGAACCAACATTCTCCTGGGATAAAATTAAGAACTGTAAAAGCACACGATTTGGTGTAAATTTGCATTTACGTTTGCATGCATCTAGTCCTGTTCTAGCTGCTGCCTATTCATGTATTATGTTGATGTTGCAGTAATGGAGTGTCATGATATTGTGCGTGACTTCGGATGTCTTCCTGCTATTCTGGCAGAAGGCCACCAGGTAGGATAAGTGGAGAATTTCACATGGCCGGATAATGCTCGATGTGATGGCCAGCAGCACCAGTACCTGGAAGGAGTTGAAGAACAGCTCGCAGTACATGCGGACCTCCCAGGCGACGCCCTTGGCTGCGTGCGGCATCCCCACGAACACGATGTAATGCACCCCGAACACCAGCACCAGCACCAGAGTGGACCTGGCCAGCTTCCTGAGGGAGACACACGATACCATGAAGAAAACTCCCCCAGGCGTCTGCCTCGCATGTTAGTGCCGCTCGCCGCATGTGCGCCCTTTCCTGCGCCGCCCCGTATCGCCCCTGTGTGACAATTCCAGGCCATTCTTGCAAACACGCAGGGACCTGCCCCACATCACGGACCGCCCTCGGGCTCCATCGACGTATTGCATGCCAGAAAATGAAATGATGCTTTATTTACAGAAGTCCTGCTACATTGGAATGCCTCTTGGCTTCATGCTCTCCTTTTGTAAGACGTGCATTTTTCAGGAGGTTGAGGGCCTTGCTCAATGGCCCATTGGAGATTTGACTCATCTGCTGAGATTTGAACCGGCAACCTTCTGATCACAGGCCTAACTAACTATGTGCAGTCAGTCATTTCAAATCAAAAGGCATGTGTGGAGCACAAATCAGCATAGAGCTTGAGACAGCTCAGCATTCTGAACAGCAGGGCTCAGCCAAATAGGGACGTGACGCATCACAGTCCATCACCATGAACACGGCCTGCCGCCTCGCCAGGACATGCTGAAGGGGCAGGAAATGACATCACTGCTACCTCGGGGGGCCGCTGTCTTTGATGAGTCACTGTCACAGCTCTGAGCTTCTATTTTTGATACATCAAAGTCATTTTATGGAACAGTTTTCTTGTTATTTTGCTGTGTACTAAAAACAATGTTTACTCACAGGAATAAAATGTATTGATTTATACAAAGCAAATTTTTGTATGACTGCTTTTCATATAAATGCTAATTTTAAAAATACACGGATTGTGAGAAATCAGATATTCAACACTAATAAATGCATCAGTATGTTATTGCCATGGTTAAATCCCCATTCATATTATCCTCCTGCCCTGCAATTTATCCTGCATTCATTTATGTCTACCATAGAGTATAACAGGCACTCGCAGTGGGCCTCCTGGACGCTGGATCCCCACACACACACACACACACACACACACACACGCTATCGGGTAAACATTCAATTCTATGGGAAAAATGCTAATGCTAACTACGACAACCCTAACCCCTACCCAGCCCTAACCATAACCATAAGTAACCAAGCAAAATACAAGAGTTCTTGCAATTTTATTTTTTTCATTGCAGTCACACATTTTTATTAAATTGAGTTTTCCCTTATCAGAACATTGTGTCCCCATAAGGTAAGGTATACCTGCTCGCACACACACACACGAACACGCACACACACACACACACATGCACAGGCACGCACACACACACACACAAGCATGAACTCGCACATACACACACAAGCACGAATACATGCACAAGCATGAACACACACGCGCGCACACACACAGACATATGCACACTCACACGCACACACATACAGACAGACACACATATACATGCACCTGTACTGCTTCCTTGTGTCATAGTGCCCTGCGTTGGTCTCTCGGATCTTTGTTGCAAGCACCCGTACAATATTTACAAATAAGATGAAGTTTAGCTGAAAGAAACAAGAAAGGAATATTAATTTTACCCCATTTTTGCCATACATTTCAAATAGCTGCCAATTTATTTACTTCTTTGTGATCATTACATTACATCTTACTTTAAATCACAAATATTTCATCATAACATTATAGTAGAGAGAACTATGCTGAGGTCTGAAGTGCATTTGTCTGCAAACAAGATCTATGAACAAATAAACAATGTTTTATGGCCCCAGAGGTACAGTGACAACTAACAGCTGCTTGCTAATAAACCCAAGCTTACTACCTACCCAAATCCTGAGCCCCTACTACCAGCCTGACTAGTAAAAAGCACTGGGCATTGGGAAGCATTCCCTCCATCCCCCCATCTTCCCATCCCTCCATCCCCCACTCCTCCAATGCTCCATCCCCATCACTCCATCCCTCCACCTCCTATTGCCCATCCCTCCATCTCCTACCCCCCATCCCTCATCCTCTATTTCTCCATCGCTCCATCCTCTATCCACACATTCCCCCATCCCTCCATCTCCATCACCCCATCCCCATCTCCCCTTCCCTCATCTCTCCACCCCCCATCTCTCTATCCCTCCATATCCTTCCATCCCTCCACCTCTCCATCACTTCATTACTATGACTCCTGAAAGTTTCACAAGTGTTATCTGGTCAACATACCTACCACACTGATGACATGGAACAGGGTTATTATTATTAAGGAGAACTGACACTGTAAGAAAACATTTTCATAAACTGAAATAAAGATATGAAAATAAAAAACTAAACAAAACAAAAACTATAAATTGTTCCTGAAATGAACAAAAATGAATAAAATAAAAACAAACATCAAATACTTTCCATTACTGTATTTAATACTATTTTGCATAAGTAATGGCTTGTTTATCTTTAATTACCATTATAATGTTTTGCCCTTTTGAGGACATTAGTACATTATACATTGCATATTCTTGTAGGATCCTTTAAAGATCAGACACATAAAATAGCTCCACAGCTTTCAGTAAATCCTTAGAAATAAAATTACTAACACATAAAATTAAACTAAAATATATAAAAAGTAAACAGAAATATACCTTTAAAATAAAAATGAATAAAAGTGAATAAAACCACACTGAAAACTAATTAAAACTCAACTGTATTTCAAATGAAAACAGAAAATAATATAACAGTAAAACTAAATTAAAAAATCAGAACTATAACAATACTGGTTTGGAATGAAATCCATGTCAGGAAGATCTCAGTGTAAATTTTAGTTTTTTATTATACTGATACTGAATTCACTTAATATACATGCTGCATTTTTTTCTTCACTCAGGGACTGTAACTACAGAGATAAACAAAAGGACATGGATTCATTCTTCACCATTAGGGTCACAATATTAATATCATGATATTAATTATACATTTAGCATCTCTAAATGTCCTTCCGGTTACCACTCTCCATACTTTCCCTGCATCTTGAAATATCAGTTCTGGATGAATTATACAAGTTGGATGCTAATTGTTAAGGAGTGGAGGCAGGTAACAGACAGACTGTTCCAGGCCTGATTATTGTACTGAAGATGCTATGATTCATTTGTTTTGTTTGTGCTCTATTGCACTGCATTGTAGAGCACGCTACAGCAGCTGCAGCCTTTCACTGTGAAACGTCAGTTGACTGCAGTGGACAATGACAGTGATTTTGGGTGAAAATACCTGGAGATTTTAAATATGCACACCATTTTTCTGCAGTTTGAAGCCACGCAGGAGCCTTGTGATTCTGATTTATTCAATGCATCCAAAAAAGTTCCATTGGAGAAAAATAGCTGTGTGTGTTTTCGTATTCGTATTCATTCGTATTCGTATTTTATCTGTTCAATTGTTGTGTGTGCCCTTTGGACAAGTTTGTGTTCAAACTCAATTTCAATTTCTTTATTAAACATTTTACAACTAATTTCTGTTAGATTTTAGAGGAAAACCAGTTTGAACAATACACAACTGCTCCACAGTAGGGCCTTTAATTAAGAAAAGCAGCTGAAAGTAATAGCTAAACGACTTCATACATAAACATGATTCGTTCAGTGAACTGTGTAAATAAAACTAAACAAAATGAATGTAAAGATGAAGCATCCACCAGTGCCAAACAAATACGCAGTTACAGTATCTGAGAAACATTGGAATTTGGGCATCTATCCTACATTAATTTGGAAAGTATGAGTGATGTTTTGAGGCTAGTTGTAATGGTGGGGCATGGCACTGGCGGAAAAAAGGTGATGATCTACGGAGCAGCTCCAAGACAAAAACACTTTTATTAAAGAACTGAACAGAACTCGAATGGGAAAGCAGAAAATATAGGGACCATGTGGGGTCAGAGCAAAATGGGAGTGATAATGATAAAAGAAGGAACCATAAATCAACACACTTGGGAAACCGGCAACACAGGAAACAGAACAAGGAAAAAAAAACAAGCAAGACTACAATACGCAGAAACTAGAACAAAGCTCAAACAACTACACAACTAACACACACAATGACTAACTCAGGAACAGAGAGCGGGCAGGCAATTAAATACATACAGGCAATCAGGCTAACAAGAGACAGGTGCGGACCATAAGACAATTAACCAAATAGCAAAGGCACAGGACAACAAGCGACAGATGGAGAAACTTACAAACATAGGAAACTGGCAAACTAGGAAGCATTACCAAACACTAAGCGGTACGACGCTAGGAAAAAAAACTTGGAACAAAAGCAGAACCAAAATTAAACAGGGCACAAGTAGGACAAATCAAAACAAGCACACAAGGCGAAGAGGCACAAGGAAAATAGCAACCAATCAATACAAAAAAACAGTCATGATGGGAGGGGGGTTCAGCCTCTGAGGCCACACATGTAACCCAGTTTGGGAAGCAGGGAAACATAGTACGGGAACAGGATAGGCAGTGACACGGGGACAGGACACCCGGGATAGGACCAGGCAAGCACCGACGCTGACAGCTAATCCAGCTAATCTAAGCTATCTGACACTCAGAAAAAGCCTTGCTTAAGCTCATGGTCCATGTTCCTATACCTAGAACATTAAAAAGGTTTCAGGCAGACCGGCAGACTGTCACTGATCCTTTCAGTTCCAAGCTAGTGGGCAGAACCCATCTACACCCAGAAGGCAAGCTCATACAATGGCTGTTTATAGACCAGCACCGGGGGGCAGTTTTTTGCTAACTGTCTGCGGCCTGCTTAGAATTGAGTATCTTTTGTGGACGATCTGATGTATTCATTTCAGTTCATTTGTATTATAAGGTTCTAGCACTGTGGTTCTCAACCTTCCCAATGCTGCGACCCTTTAATACAGTTCCTCATGTTGTGGTGACCCTCAAACATAAAATTATTTTCGTTGCTACTTCATCACTGTAATTTTGCTACTGTTATGAATCGTAATGTAAATATCTGATATGCAGGATGTATTTTCATTGTTAGAAATTGAACATAATTAAAGCATAGTGACAATAACACTATACTGCCTTGATTGTTTTTTTTTTTTATATTGACTACGATTGGCTATTTGCTTTGGTAGAAGACCGCAGTTAAGTTAACCTCATATTCGATATTCAGTTTTATGGCTTTAATAACTTTTAACGGAAGTAAGGTGGGGCGTTTTTAATGACAGAATCGTGATGTCCAGTACATAGACAACGATGCACACCAATTATTTTTGCGCTTCAAACCATTTTGTGATTTGTGCAAAATCGTGCTAATCTTCTACCAAAGCAAATAGCCAATCGTAGTCAATATAAAAAAAAAAACAAAGGAGTGGAGATATTGCCCACTGTTCCCGCCACCAAAGTGTCAAAATTCATCCCATCGAGCAAGTGCTGTATAGACGCGAGTGCATAGATAGGGTCCAGCGAACGCGAGCGTGTAGAGAGGATGGGTTTTCAGCTCGCAAACACATACGCGTGTGTGGTTTTGGCACTAATTAAACGCCATAGAGCGGTGTCTCGGTTCCTAAAACCATTGGAAATATGTGTTTTGTGATGGTCTTAGGCGACCCATGTGAAAGGGTCGTTCAACCCTCAAAGGGGTCGCGACCCAGAGGTTGAGAACTGCTGTTCTAGCAGCTATTAATAACAATGTCAATTTAATCTACTGTGATAGGGGAAGCAAAATCTTGCCATTGAACATACAAGCGCAATCTTTGGAATGGAATATGAGCCATAGAAAAGCTTATAATGGCCTTCATAGGCTCTGTAAGGCCTGTTGGAGGCGTCAGTGGCATTTACCACTACTCAAACCACTACTCAAACCACTACTCAAACCACTACTCAAACCATGGATTTGCATGGGGCCCCTGGGGTTGGGGAGATGCTGAAACATCATGTTCTGCTACGCAGCTAGCTAGCTAAGATCTTCAGGGGGATGCCACAGAAATAATAACCCCACCCCTGGTTAGAAGGCCCCTCTTTCAGCATGATGCCAGCTACACATGTGGGTTTGCAGAAGACTGCAGGTGCTGAGCTCACTTACTCCGATGGCGGTTAAAATGGGCACCTGGTAGATCCATTTGATGTTTCCTGCGCTGAGCTCCCAGCATCTGCAGGGACATGAATTAGTTGGGTTGGGTTGGGTTAGGGTTTTCCAGAGGTGAAATCTTCATCTGGATTTGTACTCTCTGGACCTGAAATCTCCACCTATAGCGTTGTCATTGTACCAGAGGCCGTGGTGCTTCTGCCCCCCCCCCCCCCCAGTAAATCCGCTTGAAGGTACCCTATCGAACAAAGGAACAGCTGACAGAGTAGGCTGCCCCCCCCCCAGTGAAGTCTAGCTAAACAGTAACAGATTGGCTTACACACTGGATGCCTTCTTGCCTTCACAAACTGGGACAGAAATCCCCCACACCATCACTGATGACATCCACCCCCCACCCCCCCCCCCCCCCCCCCCCCCCCCCCCCCCCCCCGCACACCCCACAGGCAGGGGAGCCAGACCTATGCAGGAAAACTCACTACAGCAGCAATAAAACTGTCCGCATTACTCTCCAAAGTTACACAAGAGTCCTTCTGCATTCATGTGCATTTTTGATAGGAATCATGCAGGGTTCGGCTTCTGCATGAAACTGCAGAAAACAAGGAGGACACCAGCTCTCGAGAGACAGAGCCATGTCTGATGATATCTGAGATAGCATGAGATACTTCTTAATAGACGTGAGATAGCTGTCATAAAGGATATGGACATTTTTGGAAAACTTCCATAGTGAGCTATATAATTTGCAAAACAATCCTGATGACAGTGGACATGTCACACGTTTACATATTGGATGAAGTACAATCTGCCTGCAATCACTCTGGGCCGGGACCTGATTTGTTTAAGGCCCATCCAACAAATATGGCCGGTAGCGTGTCTCTTACCTGGCGTCTGCCAGCATTGCTCGGACGATGGCCCAGGCCGCCACAAAGACAGCGGGGACACCTGGAACCACAGCAGACACACAGGGAGACTTCAGAGTGACCGGGGACACAGGACGGGACGCATCAGATCTTATTTTGATGAAGGTGACAGCGAATGCCATGCCCCGTCTCAGAAACTGCTGTCCTTTGTATTTTTTTGTTTCTGTTCTGGAAGTGCCATTGCGCCAATATCGGCGGAGAATCACTATCGTAAAACTTCGGAACTGGGCCGCAAACATGCTGTTAGACGAGAAATATAAGACTGACATTATAGGACAACAAAACTTTTCCATCTTATTAAAGGAATGAGACTAAATAGGAATTTACACCAAATATTTCTATTTTATGTTTGTTTTTATGACAGAAATGTAAAGATATTGGATAATGACCAATTAACACCTATCTTTTGATTTGCATGAATGTCTCAACTCGCTAGACTGCATTTCTTAACAGAGAAACAGAAAGTGCAGACGCTTGTGAGACAGCGATTTCTGTGAGATCCTCCCCTAAAGCTTGGGTGGGTAATCAGCATTTCAAAGACAGGAGCTCTCTTGTTTGCTGCGTACGCCACATCAAACGTGGTGAGCAGACCTCTGCAGGCACACACCAGTCGTAATCCTGCCCTGCAGAGCATCACAGACTCCTGAGAAGCACCAGGCTCCTGTTTACCTTACAGCAAATAATAACCGATTATGTTTAAACAGGGTGGGATATGTCCAGATTGTCATGTGGATAGAATGATATCGTCAGACATAAAAACGCTTTTTCTCGTTCTTGTGCTTCACTCTTTTCTGTCTTTTTACCAGAAGTTGCCTCTCCTCTCTATGTGTATATAGGGGTCTGCTTCAACCCCCCCCCATCCAGCCTGAACACCTGCCCCCCGTCCCTCATGGCGCCAGAACCTCATGCTAGGGCTGAATATACAGGGTGTGCTCAGGACATCTCCTCCAGCTCGGATGATCCTGCTCATCACGAGAACCTGGGGTTCTGTGGCGTGTAAACATCAAGCCCCCTGGTGTGACCCCGACGGAGCGCCATGCCCAGCCTAACGGGGGACAATCAGAGGTGTGCCAGAAGATTCCGGCTTCAGTGAAGTGAAGTGAGCGGCCAGACAAACAGCGAATGAGGCAACAAGTCGATGCGAATGCCAGACATACAGATACTGTACGTTTCTCAGTGAGTAGGGCAATTGTACAACTTTTTAAAAGTAAGGGACATAAAAGGGGCCAACCTTATTATTAGCCAATGATATGTTTCGAACTGGGGGCCAATCAGCTTCCAGCTGAGACCCGTGCCCCAGTGACCCCGCCCCTGTACATGCTCCTTTATTTAAGCAGCATCTGAATTTGTATTGGTATTATATGAATTGAATAAACCTGGGAATAGGGTGTGTTAGAGTCAGGCTCTGTATATGCTGCTCTCGTCTTTCCCATCTCTGCTCCCATGATGCTCTGGGTACGGCACGTGACCCCCAAACTCACCCCAGCCAACCATGGTGAACCACCACAGGTACTTGGTGTCTGAGAAGAAGGCCATGAAGATGAGGCTGTGCAGGTACAGCCCCTCCACCAGGATCCAGTAGTAGTTGGTTGCTAAGAAGTAGATGAAGAGGAGGACAGTGATCTTGCACCCAATCTGCAGGAGGAACCCAAAGAGAAGAAATGATGGGCTGTTTGCGGAGGTGCTGCGTATGCCTGCGGCAGCCAGCTTTGCTCGGGATTGCAGGGCGGGGCTCTCTTCAGTGGCTCCACCCCCCAAAACACAGAAACATCCAGTTTCATAGCTGGCTGGGTCCAGGTCTTCATTAGCGAAGGAGGTGTCATTGGGTTTAGAGGCAGCTGTGCGGTTGGCCTGAGGAGACACAGCTCCTTCAAGCTCCTGCTTGGTAAATCAATATAAGCAGACAACAGACTTCCTTTGGACCGCTCTGTCACACCGAGCTGGCAAAAGAGACACGGATCCAGTACTGCAGGGCAAGCCGTGCTTTAATGAAGCTGACAACAGGTAAGCAAGGGTAAGCAGCACCAGAACAGAGCACCGGAGGGAGAGCGCAGCCGTCCGGTAGACCGGAGCGGCTGTGCGAGGTAAGTCAGCTCCTCGAGAGATGGCAACCGGGCAGACAGGTTTGGAATCGGCAGGAGGTGATCGTGGTCGTGGTGCGGATGCGTGGGTCGTTAGCCAGAAGGTCCGTCCGACGGAGAAACACGGGACAGGAGCACACGAGGGGAGGAGGACAGAGGGTGCCGGACTCAGCAGGGCAGGAGATTCAGGAACGGGAGCTGGACTGAGGAGGGAAGGCACAAAAGGTAAGGTTTCTACGAAAGGCAAACTGCTAAGGTACGGGAGAGGAAGGAGACGAAAGACAGAAAAACGCTCGGTATGGCTTCTTTGCATCGGCTCAGTACTTCGCGAGTGAAAGGTGGCTGCGCTCCTCTTTTACGGAAGACCTAATCCTTGGCTAAGGTGTTGCACCTGCTTGACCCCGCCCCCGTGGGCGTGACACACTCCTTGTTGCTATGTCAAATAAATCGTCATTATATCACGCCAGTCACCCTTGCTGATCAGTAAACTGAACATTAAATAGCCCTTTAAATGTTTGCTTGCCACCATGGAGCCCTTGGGTCTGACCCGGTGTTATGTGCTGATTTGGTAACACTGACGTTCACTGTCATGTTTTAGGTTGAATTCTCACCCATGAATCAATACGTCGACTTTTAATGGTGTGTTGACAAGCCAGATCACTCAATCTGTTGAAAAACAGTTTAACATTAGAACAGATGGAAATTAAGAGTAACACCATAAAAACTGGTAAAAATTTCTTCTGTATTCCAAAAAGTTACTGTTGAACTCGGGAAAGGCATTACACAGCCTGATGGCCAAAACTGAGAGATTCAGGGGGAGTTTCTATCCTCATGCAATTAGAATCCGTAACAGTGACAAGTCTAATCTCCTACCCCCCCCCCTCCCCCCAGATTCCACATACCTAAGTCTGCACTTCAAACGTCTGGATGCTTACATGCACAATGCTACTTCGTATGCTGTTAATTTTCCATGTTTGCTCTACGTTCACTATTGTAGACAATGTACAGGGTAACTTCGTTGCCCGTGCACATTATCCCACTTATGTATCATAATCTGCCCCTAATCTCTTGTATATATTTTCTTATTTCATTTTATTTTAAAATTTTATTTTAAATTTTATTTCTCTTCCAGGATTGTCTTAGTCTATTAATGGTTATTGCTAATTTAAACACCTTAATTACTAATGAAATTACTGGCTCTTCTTTCTCCATTTCTTTCTACTGCACAGTGCAGAAATGACTTAGCTACACATTTCATTGCATAACCTGTATGTGACAAATAAACAGTCTTGCATCTTGAATTTTGATATCTAGTTGGACGGCTAGACGAGCACCCCTTCAGTTCCCAAACCCCCCCTTAGGGGCCACCTCAGCCAGTCCATGTATGTATTACATTTCATGACCAGCTCACTTAATTAATTAAATTAATTAGTTAAAAAGGTCAATGAAAACATTGATTAGCTATGCAAGGTTTGCTAGTGGTCGAGTCAAAAAAATACATGGGCATGTTATATGATTGCTGCAAATAACGGGGTGATTTTAGCAGAGATTTTAAAATGGCTAAGCTGAAACACTTTGACAGACATAATAGCATAGTTTCACACCAACATAATGATAATTTAAACATCACTTTCTTTGGCTGCCTACAACTTTTGCACAGTAATAAGTATGTGCATAAAAGGCAGAAAGGACAGAAAGGCAAACACACAGAGAGTGTTTAACACAAAAAGCTACAGTGGTGATCAAAATCAGAGGACAAGAGACATTGCTGTAATGTATAAAGTCATAGATTTACTGAATTCAAAGTTATTCTAACATGAATAAAGGAGAGGTAATCATTTAATCAGTGAAAGCTATGTCACATCATAAAATAAATGGTTTAAACAAGACATTTGAGAAAGACATGCGATCAAAATTAGAGAACGATTTGTTATACTTGGCAGTTCTTGCATCTAATCTGAAATATCTGGCATCCCCAGTCTATCTGATAACATTGGTAGGCATTCTGCAAGATGGTGGACCTCTCCAAGGTGCCTGAGGTCATGTGACATCAGGCTGTTCAGATGAAGGCTAACTGGACGACCCTCTTAGCCACTGGAAGAGAAGCTAATCATTACAAGAGCTTCATTTCTTAAATACTGAAGCAGTACAATAAAACTAAGTCATTCTAGTGAAAAAAGGCTGGTTACCCACATATGACGCGAGCACAAGTGGACAGGACGATGGGGAGACTTGTGGGGGATCGGTTCAACAGCTGGAAATGCTCGCCAGATTAGATCTGAGCAGGACAAGAACTTGTCTTGGCAGAGTGTCATCGTCTGGGACAATATGGACTGAAATCCCATTCCGCAGTGACCAAGCCACTCATCTACAAGAAAACTGAAAAGGCGAGACTAGCTGAGGAGCATGTTGTGTGGACAGAGGAGATGTGGACATACAGCTACATGCTACGGTGACTGCTAATGAGCATCAGAACCTCCTTCAGCAACATGCGGTTCCTTCCCTACGAGCATCACCCAGTCAGCCAGCCATTTTTATACAAAACAATGCAACTTATCACACTGCAAATCAGGTGAAGCAATTCCTCAAAGCTGAGAACATCAGGGTCATGAAATGGCCTGCCCAGAGTCCTGATCTGAACCCTATCAAGAATCCCTGGAAGGTAATTGGCAACAAAATTATGGCAAACAAACCCAGTACAGTTGCCAAATTGTGGAAGAAACTGAAAGACGAGTAGAACAAAATCAAGTCAGAGCAGTGTGACAAAGTGATTATGTCTTGTGGGCACTGATGTGCCAATCACTGAAAGCAAGGGCCTGTATGCTTCCTATTAATTTCTGAAAGTGGTAACCATCAAAAAGTTGACAGAATTCATTTGTAGACTTCTACAATTTTTTTTTATTGTGCTCTAATTTTGATTGCATGCCTTCTTCAAATTTCTTGTTTAAACCATTCATTTTGTGATGTGGCATAGGTTTCACTTATGAAATATGATTAAAACATGTTAGAATAACTCTGAATATGGATAAGCTGTGATTTTGTATATTACAAAAATGTCACTTGTTCTCTAGTTGCGATTGCCACTGCATATAATATGGAAATCTAACTTTTACCAAAATTCTTCATGTAAGTTTACTTTTATAGTTAGTGGGGGTAAGTCAGAGCAAATTTTAAATTTTAAAAATCATATTTATAGATAATCATTCAGAAAGAGATTTTAATTCATTACAAGAAGGACAGGCAAGTACAAACCTAAAAGCCTTCATTAAATATATGAAAGGAAATGACCCCGTCTAAGCAACATGGTGAAAACAATAAAGGAAGTTATCCTTAAAGAATACAAAGACAAGACAAGTAAACAGATAAACGAAAGCTCAGACTCCACTCTGCTTCAACTTCAAAGGATAACTACACAAAATAAGTTGAACAAATGGAGGAAAATGGTGCAATGGATGGAAGGGGAAGAGCAGAGTCGTGGCTCACGTGCCTGTAACATCTACTGTTTCTTGTCAGGAACTTACAGAAGACAGTGGAGGGATGATCCGGCTCAAATCCCCCCAAAGGATCATCCCTGCAGAACGCTTACACGCTTTCTGGAAATTTCTCCCTTCAAACATTCCCCTTTGCAGCGTGGGCCTGGTTCTCTTTCATCCTCTCTGCTGATTGCTGCACCTCCTCCGACGACAGTTGGGTTCTCATTCAAAAGATAACACCTTGTGCCCGGAGGAGGGATCACGCGCACCCCTTCCCAAAAGCTCCTGCAGCCCCCATGTACCAAACCCTGTTCAGCACCATCACTGAAGCAAAAACACGGTGCAGCTCCTTTACAGCCATAACGATGCGTGAAATTCCCAGGAAATACACAGGACAAGCTAACTACCACAGAGACACCCGGCGGGACCTGAGCTTTAATATTCCCATATCCGAGACTCTTTTCTACACCAGGAATGTTGCTTCTTAAAGCAGGTTCACTCTTAGTAATTTTCAGGGTCAACTCCTGTTGTCTCAGTCTATTGTGTCCCATCCCTCTTTGGCCAGCAGGTGTCGCTGGCCATCCTGTCCCTCCTGTCAGTCTTTGTGTTTTCCCCTGCGCCCTGTCAGCCACGTGGTTCAACGTGTTCAGCATGTGGCTACCAGCAAATCTCTGTCGCATGTTCAAATCCCGCCTCCTCTACTTTTGTATTTTGTTCCCTAGTGTTTCATTCTAATTCCTGTGTCTTGTGATTTGTATTTGGTTTTGGTTTCATTTTTTGTACCCGTGCTTGTGTTTCTACCAGTCTGTAATTCCGCTAGTGTAGATTCTGTTTCCTTGATTCTGTCAGTGTCTTAGTTTTCCCATCCCAGTCCCTGAATTAATTGTTGCCTGTTCGTGTGCCTGCCCTTGTGTGTTTTCCTGATTGCTCGTTGTCCTGCACCCACCCTGATTGGTTAATTGTCTATGTCTCACTCCTGCTGCCTCGTTACCCAGTTCAGTTTTCATATTTAAGTTCCTGCCAGAGTTCAGTTCCCCAGTGGTTCATTGTTGTTGTTTTGCTATTTGATGATGTATGTTGCCTGCCTACTGGCCCCATTTGTAGTTAGTCTTTGTTTTTCCCCTTTGACTTTTGACCCCTTGTAGGTTATTTTTGTTTTAGAAGTATTTCTAGTGTTTTTTCTGTTTGTTAATGAATCCCCGCTTGTCCTCTGAGCCGCCAGTGGGTCGTCCACTTTCTGTTCCCCGTCTGCATGACGCCTCGCCCTCGTGCTAAACCTGCCCGGATCCCTGACAGTAATTCAGCAGACATCTGCACTACACTGCTTTCATGCACCTTAAGGATGTGCAGAGAGCCCAGTATTTGTATTTGTATCTGAATTTGTTTAGGCAATAAAATTATTTATATTGATATTTGAATAAAAGTGGAAATAGGCGTAACAATCCAGTTTTCTTTATTGCACTTCTTTTGCACTAGTTTAAGGATATTTAAGTGTTAATATAAGTTCGGTTCAATAAACTATTACTAGGTTTATGAAAACCATAAACCAATATTTAAGCATTCAAAATTATTATAATAAACATGTATGACTATCTACATCATAAAAAAGAAAATCATTTTAAACATAAGATTCAGTTCCTAGCTCACACTCAGACCAATAAATGAAATTCTAAGCAAATAAATGCCAGTGTGGACACTGTGACCCTGACCATCCACGCCCACTGAAGGATGCTGAAGAGACAGCACTATATGCCAAGAATGGAACCTTAATCTACCCCTGACTGAACTGATCTGATCTGGCCCCTGATCTATGGAACACAAGCTCGGGTTACATTCTGTCCATTACGATATATTATATACACTGTAAACATACCTATATGGTTTAATGCACCTATTCTTTACCTGTACTCCCTAAAAAATCACAAAACATTACTGTAAAGTAAATAATTAATGCATAACATACATTTTTATCACCACTATCAAGTATTATTGGTATTTTAAGTTAGATAGGCTAAGTACCATACCATTATATAGATGGCATAATTATTTAATGTTTGTACAAAATAAAAATTCATAAAAACCCACTATTTGTGCTTTGCCGGATACCATATTAGGATTCAACCCCACTCTTAATCCACATAATCATAGTTATGTACACTATTAGTATTTATACTGTATTGTGTTGATGATGTTATGCATTAATATTTATGTATTTGTAATTATCTGTAGTGCCACAGGGGGCCCAAGAGAAACAGCATTTCAGCTCATTGTGTACTTGGATACATGGATGTGCTGACGATAAAGAACTCGAGTCTTTTTTAGTCCACAGACCTCTTCACACAGCCAGCCCTGTGATTGGATGGTGCTCAGCTGCACCACACCAGGGTCACTTGGGGGATTTGAACTGCAAACCACCAGGTTTCAAATGGATAGTATAGTGAGCTGGCCTTCCTCTCTGGGCACTCTGACAAGCCTCCGAGGGGTGATTTAATACCGACACACCCATTTGTGCTTTAAACTTGTCACACATTAAACCATCACCTAATTCCAAGTTTCCCTTTGACAACGAGTAGCTTAAAGACAACAGCAAGTTCGTTAACACTAAACCCTTAAATGAACCCTTAAATAAAGTTAATGATCTTACTGTCAGAGCTGTAAATGTGCTCTATAAATAAGTAGCCAAAGGACATTATAAGGGCAGGAGAGACAGAGTCATTGCTCTGCCTCTCTGATTTAATAAGGCAGCACAGGCCAGAGATCTCAGGGAGACACAGGGTGCGTTTCTGATTGTATGTAGCTTCCTCGCCCCCACCCCCTACAGAGACTCTCAGCTGGCCTGGGGCTGATGGCTGTATATTACCAAACAAAAAGATTCACCTTTTAGAAAGAATGAAGGAAAATGCAGTGCGCGCATGGCACTGAGGTGTATGCGTGCATTTCACTGCGATCAATGCAGTGCAGCTGCAATCCCCGCAGCACTGAAAGCTGGTGTTATGTACATGTGCATTAAGATGTGCAGATTTGGGGGTTCACTTGCTGTAATTTTCTTATTCCTTGTGGAACTTGCGCCAGAGGAAACGCTCTGAGATGGCAGTAAACAAGCCCTTGGAAACAGAGCTTAAACGCTGAGCAAAACCAGAACTCATTCATTTGGGTTAGGGGGGATTTTTAAACATCTAATCAGAATTTTTGCACTTTATCGGCAGTTTAAATGGATAGCTATTTATTTACATTACTGCTCTACAGAGGATAATGTTTTGATATTGGTGCATGGAAGGATGATGTACTTATATTGTATTATGTTGTTTTGTCAACATCAGAGTCCGTGGCTCTGGAAAGTATCAGCAAGCAGATTAGCTTGAATGGGACAGAAGAGGAGTCAGGTCACGTACAAATGCTAATTTAACTGTCTGATCAAGTGTGAAGTCAGGGTGCTACTGAGTCGCTCAGTGTGTGGGTCCTAAATACGAATGAGTCCTTCTAGCACCATGATGGCTGCTCAGAGGCCGTGTGTTACCCTCGGAGGCAGCCCATGATGGTGTGAGCTCCTCTTTCCTTCTCTCCCCTCCTCTCCTCTCCCCTCCTCTTACTGCAAGGGCCTGCTCTGGGTACCACAGGCAGCACCATCGGCGATTTGGAGAAAACGTGGAGGCGTTCTGCTGAAAGTAGGAGCTTGGAGATGGATTCCAGCTTCCACATTTAGCTTCTCCTAATCAGCAGACCCCAGAGGCTTGGCCGCCCTTACTTGCTTGTTTTGTTATTGTAGGTTATTTTAATATAAATCTGTGAGAAATCACCTTATTTGCTAAGCACATGCATAGTGTATTCAACAACATTAAACTACAGTAATGCCACCTGCCTTTATAGCTTAAGTATATGAGATTAACCTTAAGGGTTTATTTGCCATTTGCACAAGTATCAGAGGTGAGAGTGACTGAGAGTGTCTGAGCACAAGGTCAGGCCATTAATCCGGCAGCCCTGGAGCATTTCGAGGAGTTACGGGCCTTGCTCAAGGGCCCAATCGAATTATGACTACATTGCCAAGCATAAGATTTCGAAGCATTGACCTTCCAATCACAGACACACACTGCAGTTATCACACAATCAGAGCCTGATCTAGACTAGATGTTCCTTCCTCAAAATGCCCATGTACTGTAGTATCATGTAACATCTCTGGAGATGAGATAATGCTGGCGGCATCACTGCGGACACTATCTCTTACAAACTACGTTACAGCTTAGGAAGGAAGGAATAACGACTCACATACTGAGACTTGTCCACCGACATTACAGAGACGGTCCTGAAGTTGTCCATCAGCACCGAGTCGAATTCTTGCAAGCCGACATTGGCGTGGACCACGCGGTCCTTGATGAAGATACTGACGGCTCGCAGCATGAACGACACAAACAAGTGCATGTGGATGTAGTTCCTGGTGCAGTGCAGGCGCCTAAGGACAGAGAGAGAGCCCTTGATTTGGTTTGAGCGTGCTGGTGTCAGACATAGCTAAACTTGCTAAAGCTGATAGTCGCTAAAACTGCTATCAGATGTGAATGGCTCGCTTCTGCTGGAACTGTTGGGGCTGGCTGCTCTGGTGGGCTGTCCTCGTTGTATATGTCTGTGGTGCGCAAGTCCAAGCACCTGCACATGAGTCAATGAAGCTGACATGCTTTTTCCAAACTGCAATGAACAGCGGAAGATGGGCTCTTCCACAGGATTGCATGACAGGCATTATCACTGAGGGCCATGCATTTCCTGTCAGGGATGTACATTTCCTGTCAAGGATGTGCATTTCCTGCTAAGAATGTGCATTCCCTGTCACTCTCAGGTGGAGCACAATATTCAGACATGTCAGATTGGCACAGTAGTAATTGCTCCCATAAACCTGATATGTAAATAAACATGGAGCAGATGGGAGAACTCACAGTGCGTGATTAGCACTGGCTCTGTAATTTCACAGGTGAGTCATAAACATCCTGCAATCTCAACTGAAGATGACAGTGAAACTCTGAGCTGAACAAGTTAACAACCATCCCACAAGGCAAGCCCCAGCCAACACACGTGCATTTCCTAATTACAGAGTAACAGCACTGTTACTGTTAATTTAGTGAACCCTACAGGAAACGGTGTTCACTTGGCTTGTGACTGAGAACAAATGAGTAGCAGATGGCCGAATTATGTCAGAATGAATGACTATAATTCATGATCTTCTAAATAAAACTTGGGTTTATGACTGGGTCAAAACACCCAAAGTCCAAAGTATCATAGAGCAAGTCCACCTGTCAACAAGAAACAGTTAGATACAGCTGTTTTTACCGGAAGTATCCAATGATAAAGATGGCGACCAGGAGGGAGCTGAAGGACACCGCATAACCGATGGTGTACATGATGTAGAGTCGCTCGAAAAAGTCCTGCTGGAAACATGCAAGAAGCACTGTCAAAAAAAAGCTGGTTTGGATAGAAACAGACCAGTCATGTATCTGCTGGAGTTTGGCTATGAATTCTGGGATTGAGGATGAGAGTGAGTAGTTCATATGAAAACACCCCAATGGGGCTTACCTTCCCCACCACATGATCAGGCTGAAGGAACCTCAAACATTCAGAATAATTTGCCCATGTCCTGTTTAAGCTCTCCAGAAAAATCCATGAGCCGTTGGCATCACATTTCCTGTAGGCGTGACCTACAGGACACACACACAGGCGATATTATATTTTTGTACAATATAGGAAATTATACTCACGTAAATCTGCAATCGTGGAGGTTTTGTCTGACCTGTTTTCACATAAAATTTTATTGCTTTTGAAAACAATCATCGACATGAACCCAAATTTCTACCTTTCTGTAAAATGAGCAACTTGAACTTAAAAAAAAAAACATTAAAAGCATCATGATATGAATGTCAAAGCTCGGAGACAGTTCCATGAAGCTGTCGGTGATGGCAGGCAGGCAGCATCAAAGGCAGTGAATTCCTCTATAACATCGAACTTGAGTTGTGAGGTTTCCTGGCAGACATGTGTGGAGATAAGAGGATGCAGCGTACCTTTGTGGTTGAAGTCGTAGACATATTTGGGGCATGGGACCTGTGTGACTGCTCCAGGGGATCCCTGTGGCCAGCAGATTAGGCCATCCCACCCGGGGGGGCAGAGCTCATCTGGACACACAAGCAATATGAGGTAGATGAGGATGAAGAGCAGGAGAGTTGCTGCCATGTTATGGTGCCGCTGCCACATCCGCTACTTTAATAGAAACCTTTGAAAGCACAATTTACTCTGACGCCACTGTGAAAAAAATCCAGTAACCTTAATGGATTCTTGTACATGGTGAAGAGCAGGAGGTCAGGTAACTCAATCAGTTGAATATGTGAGCAAATCTGAACAGCACTAGGAGAGAACGAGCTGTGACCACACACCAACCTGAAAATGAACTGGAAGAGGCTGTGGGGGTGGGACACATTGAAAGAAGCGACCTACCAGTGCCCGAGCGGATGACTCACGCCTCTGCATGACAGCTACCACATTGACAACTACAGGCAGCGCCCTCAACTGGCTGAAGGGCTATTTATTTGTTTATTGTAAAACCCTGCCTTTACGCTCTTATGAAGGATTTAAAGGGGCTTAAAAGCGGAACAAATGCTGTGATTAAATTCATACAGCAGCCCTGGCAGAACTCCTCTTCCTGCCAGGATTACTGCCCTCTCCCCCAGGACATTTCACAACTATTACAGATTCATTAATTTGCTCTCTGAACTACGCTGCCTGCTCCGAAGATCAGATGATATCTTCATCTACAGCAGTCGATTATAAGAACCGTGTGATGAGCCCTACATAAAGTCCATTTCCCTGTCCACACATCACAAAGGAGCACAGGCTGACAGAGTCGTTCCAAAACAGTGATGATGTCATTGTCACGGTTACACGAATGCATGGACTGCGGAAGCAGAGGCAGGACAACAGCTGGTAACACAGGGATTTCACACAAGGTAGTGAGGGGGGCGTGGCACACAAGAGGATCGGACGAGCAGGTCATGACAGAACCCCCCCAAAGGCATGCATTCTGGGTGTGCCTAAAGGGACCGGAGGGACAAAAGTGGGGACAGCACCTGGGGAAACAAAAGCAAAAAACATTAACAAGGCAACGGGAACAGGACCGACACGCAGGACAAAAAAAGACAGCCACCAGGACGCCAACTGACACACTACAGGGAACGTGGACAGACACAGGGGCACCAGAGACGGAAATAACGGAAGGACAACAGCAGGGGACAACCCAACAGGAGGAACAAAGGGACTACGAGGGAACAAAGGCGGAACAGAAGGACGGGGAGCAAACACAGGGGGCAAGGAAGCAGAGGGCAGGGGGAAACAGGGAGCTGGAATAAATCCCGACGGGTGGAAGGTGGGAAACCGCAGCAGCTACAGGCGACCATGAGGCCAGAGCTGGAGAGACCCTCGGCGACTGCGAGGCCTTAGCCAGAGGGGACAGTGAAGGGGGCGAGGAGGAAGGCAGCGGGACTGCTGGAGGAGGTGAGGAGGGAGGTGAAGGGGACAAAGGAGGAGGCGAGGAGGGAGCAGAAGCCGTGGCAGGCGAATGTACAGCCACAGCCAGCGAAGATACAGGAGACTGATGAGTCGGAGCAGGGGGACCCGCAGGCGACTGACGAGGCATTGGAGGTGAGACTGCAGCCACCCGATAAGGCACCGCAGGGGGAGCCGCAAGCGACCGTCAAGCAGGAACTGAAGGAACTGACGGCGAGCCAGGGTGTAGGGCAGGTAGGACCCGACCCCTGTGCAGGTGTCCCCTACCTCTGCGGGACACAGAGACAGGGAGCTCGCCGGTATCTGCCATGCTGGGATGGTGGTCGGGATGACCCACTAGATGGGTTCATTGGGGCAGTCATCAGGGATATCCCCGAGGGGTCCCACTGAAGCTCCTCCTCCATCTCTAAGGGGGAAGGAATGGTGGTCCGACGGTCCAGGACCTCTTCGGGGACAGGGACTGGCGCCATGGGAACAGGGGCCGGAACAGGGTCCAGGGGAACGGGAACCACAGGAGCGGGAACAGGTGCCACAGAACAGGCTTTGGGCGCTGACTCGGGCGCAGGCGAAGCAGCAGGCAGATGAGCCTCGGGCACAAGCAGTGAAGCAGCAGGCAGACAAGAATCGGGCACAGACAGTGAAGCAGCAGGCAGATCCGGTGATGTGAACACCGCCGGGTCAAAAATCGGGAGAAACTCCTCCCAACATGCTGCCAGAGAGGCAGCAGAGACCGAGATGGACCCCACACAGACACCTGGTGTGTCCTCCCGTCTTTGGTCTCTCTGCTTCTTCTTGCGAGCTGACTTAGCAGGAGCAGGGGATAGTTTGGCCAACAGGAGAAGAGGCAATCCACAGTCCAAGCGTACCTGCCTCATCATTGCCTCTCAGCCGGACCAGGTCCTGCTGTACCTCTTCGGCTAAATGCAGGTCGCTAGACGGGGAGATCTCCTTCAACAAGTTTCTCAACCGAGCAGCAAGGGTGCGAGCAGCGGGGTCCTCCTGGATCTCACCTCGTCCACCCAATTGAGATACTCCTCTACAGTGAGGCAAGGTGTCTTTTTAGCGAGTTCTGTCATTCTGTCATGGTTGCACGAAGGCATGGACCACGGAAACAGAGGCAAGACTCAGGGAATAGGGGAAAACACAGGATTTAATTCCGGGCAAACACAGAACAGGCAGACACGATATGACGTTAATGATGGAACTGGGGAAACACACTCAAACACAGACTTAAATACTTCACACTAATTAAAAACAACGAGAAACAGCTAGTAACACAGGGATTCCACATGAGGTAGTGAGGGGGGTGTGGCACACAGGGGATTGGACGAGCAGGTCATGACAGTCATAAAATCCCACATGACCAGACGTACAAAAGGCATGTCATCAGATATGAAGGAGCAGTGAGACTGTATGAGGACAGTACATTCATTTATTTAACAGATGCTTTTATCCAAAGCAATATACATTTTTGAGACAGACGAGTCAGGCAGTCCCTAGAGCACACGGCCATCCTGAAAATTTGAATTCAGAACCTTACAATAAAGGAGCCAGCATCCAGCCCACTGTACCACTCTACCAGTAGCTGGTACCCATTAACCGTAAGGGCACAATGATACCAGGTCAGCTGATCACAGTGTGCTTGGATTTTGGTTCATGTAGAGGTTAATGTAAATCGAACAGCAGTATTGGTCCTCCAGCAACAGGTGAAATATGTCCTTCTTCACTAATGCATGTGTGGTCTAGAAGGATGGGAACGAAATAGCAAAACATGATTATACCCAAGAAAGTTCTTGGCATTTCCTGTCTTTTAAGTAAAATGCATTTTCAAGGATGTACCTCTCAAACTACAGTCTCCTGATGGTCACCTTAAAGCTTACTGTGCCTCTCAAACAACTGTCTCCTCATGGTCACCTTACAGCTGACTGTGCCTCTCAAACAACTGTCTCCTGATGGTCACCTTACAGCTGACCGTGCCTCTCAAACTGCAGTCTCCTGATGGTCACCTTGCAGCTGACCGTGCCTCTCCAACTGCAGTCTCCTGATGGTCACCTTACAGCTGACCGTGCCTCTCAAACTACAGTCTCCTGATGGTCACCTTACAGCTGACCATGTCTCTCAAACTGCTGGTCAGTTTAAAGCTGACTGTCCCTCTCAAAATGCATTCTTGTACTGGTCACCTTACAGCTACCTGAACAGCAGCGTCTCCCCCACTCACCTGTAGGGTCGTGCGACGATACGTTGTGCAGGCATTGCACCTTGACGTCGTACAGGAGGTACACCTGCTCCTGGGCAGTGATTCCGCCATCTGAGCCCACCTGTAGAGGACCGTCATAAGTGGATGTCATTCTTTCATTGGTCATTGTGAGTCCCTTGCTTGCCTGTTACTGGCTGGTCTCAAGCCACCCAACCAGGAACCTTCTTGCTGTATGCTGTTTTACTAGGTTTCTTCGTTTTAATTAATTTTCCGGCAAAAATCAATCATTACACAAACAGAATTCAAGGTCAAGTATATTTCCAATACATAATCAACATCCATCAACAAATCATAAAATTTGTTAGCAACATGTGTATAATTCAGACTTCGTAAGCATGTGGCTCAGTGGGCTAAGCCTGTGTTCCTGTAATCACAAGGTTGCCGGTTCAATCCCAGCCTCGGCACTTCTGTGAGTCCTTGCGCAAGACCCTTAACCCCCAGCTCCCTGGGTGCCACTATGGGTGGCTGCCCTTCGCGGACTCTGCAAAGAGCAAGATGAGGGAGGCTTAAAAAAGAATTTCCCCACGGGGACAATAAAGGATCGATTATTAATGTTGGAATTATGCAGCACAGTGCAACAGCAATATCTTTAACTATTTGTCTCTTTCTGGGAGAAAGAAATTACTTTATTAATTCATATTTGAGACAAGTGTATTATTGCTTTACAAATACTACTAAGGAGAGCCCTCTGATTAACACACTCCATACTGGCACATGTGATAATCTTTTCTCTTAGCACAAATGCACCATTTTGGCCAAACTTCATCACAAACTGAAGCGTGTTTGTGGTGCGCGGATGAGTCAGCGACTGCAATTTGGAGGCAGGAGAGCCCTGGCCTCTGACACATATCCTACACTCAGCGGCGAGAGATTCTCCAGGGGCTCCCATGCAGCCAGTTACTGTAAAAAAGCAATGCAAAAGCTTTTGATTTATAAAACGACTGAAGATCGCATTTGAGGAAGGCATTGTGATGCATCCTTTACATGGTGATCTGAGTCACACTCAGGGTCACTTCTGAACCAGTGAAATCTGCTTTAGGCTCCAGATCAGTGGCTTGATGTAAAACATGCAGACCATTTACAATAATCTCTTCTCCTTGACTCACTGTTGGTTTGGCTCTGATATGATGTCATTCTGTCACTTGTAACTGAAAGATTGCTGGTTCGATTCACTGACCAGCAAGGTACCACTGAGGTACCCTAAACAAGGTACCGACCCCCGGGCGCTAAATTATCTGCCCTCTGCTATGTCATGATGTCACATATGGGTTAAATGCAGAGGACACATTTTGTTGTTGTGCACTGTGTGCTTTGGTGTATCAACAATGACCGCTGATCGCCAAATTCTAAATTCTAATTCTAAATGGCATTTAAGTGATACACTGTGACTAAATGTAGCTGCCCGGAAGTTTCTACCCCGGACTCTCTGTTATTGACTCCTTACTGCGACATGGATCTCCCAGGACACCACTTAGTGACCACAGCCTTCTTGCTCGGTACATCCGCACACGCTTTGTATATCTCACGGATACAGCGGTATCTCCAGGGCGATGAATCTACGTGTTTGAACCAACCCGAACCTAATTTAGCCGTTGTCCCTGTAACGGAACGTCAGAATGCGCCTTATTGCCCAACTGGCCACTCTCAGCATGCTCCAGACAGGACCTCAAATTGCATAACTGCGATTTTTGGTGTGTGTGTGTTGCATTTGAAAGCATCTCATAGAGCTTTCCACTGCCTTTGTGTACCAAATTCTTTTAAAGAGACCTTAAACCTGTTGCACTAACAAGCCTGAGAGTGGTATGAATGTGATGTTCCCAGATGCAGACATTCTTTTGGAGATCGTTGGCAAGACAGCCATTAGAGAAATGATTACAGCAGATCCCACTCTACCCGAAAGCAGTAAAATGAGATATGATATTACCATTCAGATTCACAAAGCTCTGCCTACTTAGGATGAGGCAGTAAACAGCTCCTTTGAAGGAAGAGGGTTTTAAAAATTGGATGTTTTCACAGCAGAGTTGTAGCATTCAGTCCATAAGCTGAGAAAGATGAATAAACTAAGCCTTTTTGTTTAAACAGCTGTGAGATTTATGCTTCTGTAAAGCTCTCTACAGCATATAAAGGTACTTATTTTTTATAAGTATAATGCCTGTCCACCTGCTAAAATAATTTTTGTACAGTAGGATAAGACAGAGGCAATTGGTCCAGGACCAGCTATGGATCAGGGAGAATAGCATCAGCTACTGATGGGCAGCAGTGTTTACACAACTCAAACCAAGCATTTGTGCTCCCTAGGTTTGAGGGCCCCCTATTGGCCATAAACAACCACTACATTAGGGGGGCAGGGATTGAAGTGACTTTCTGAGTGGGGCCCATCCCTGTTAATGCGACCAGGTTATACAGTGGACACCAGCTGATCTTCAGCTAGGGCACAGATGCAGACACAGAGCAGAGGCAGAGGGCAACACCCCCAGCACAGGAGGGGAGGCGTAACCCTGAACCCCAGTCACACCCACAGCATACGCATCCAGCCACAATACAGGGATGGGACTCGTCTGCACATCTGCTGCAATTCATTAACCTTCAGACTCCCAGCCACACTCAGGGAATTTGGTAAGCTAGCTGTTGTGAATCTATAAGCGAAATCCGTTTGCGTTGCCAGTGATTCTGCAGCAGTGATTCTACACCCAAGAGCCTTTTTCCGGTATTATTTCCAATCAGCAGACCCAAAGGCATTGGCTGCGAAACATCATGATTTATGACTGTCGCTCAGAAAATCAGAATGTACAGGACGCGTAATGAGCGTAATGAACAAACGCGTACATTTAGGTCTGAGTCCAAACCTGCTGAGGTGCAAGAGACGAGGGGCCACCCGCGAAACGCAAGAACCGTCCACAAGGAGCCGTATATAATTATAAAACATGAAAACGAGCATCAAACTGAGATCGAAAGTGAATTTCGCATATCCCATCTCGCTTGCCGTACCCCCCACCCCAGCTTTGATGCCGACACTGTTTACTTGACTTTTAATGAGCTCCACATAATTATTGCAGTCTCTAAAGAAGTTACCCTGACGTTTAGTCCTGCTGGCACTGTGCGGCTTTGAGGATTCCAATTACTGCAATCACCTTGTGGAAAATCAGTAAAGTGCTTCTTGCCGTGACACCTCACAGGGTTACTTTTTTGCAACGCGGTGTTATATAAACTCAAAAACATCCAAGGGCGTGTCATTTTACTAAATTTTACTGAACACCATGCACGCAATTATTTATTTATGAATGAATTCATTTATTTTCCTTATGTTTATCTATATATTCATCTATATCTATATATTCATCTATATATTATCTGAATAAATAATATAACTGGTAAATTAAATATAGCTAGACCAGTTTGCATAATTCGTTTTGGAATATTAAAAGACCCTGTGTACGGTTACGAATAGGTGACAATCTAGCTGCCATCTTAAAATAGAGCATTTTAATGGAAAAAAAACGCTTACTATATAAAATACTGCATTTTTCGTCTCACAGACGAAGACAAGCAAAACGACAATTAAAAAGATGGAACAATTCAATTTAAAAGTCCCGGTAAGAATATATAACTCATCCTGTTTATTTTATGCTATTTGATTTGCCAAATGCACAGCACGTGGGAAAAGGAACGATGGAGACAAAGATGTATATAGCCTAATGAGTTATACGCAGCACACAAGATTAGCAAGGGCAAAGATATACTATATAAAATACAATATCAAAATATAACAAAAATGTTAAAAACTTGCACAAAAACCTGTTTTCTTGGCATTACCTGCGCCTGCACTGAAGTGGAGAACATCCAGATGACTTTGGCGAAGTTACACAGCAGATGCTTCATCTTCAGCTTCAACTTCAGCCTCATACCTGTTGCTGGAGTTCCTGCTGTTATATCTGCAGAAGAATTTTCAGTCGCATTAATTTTAACGTTCCCATATGAAAACATTGAAAAATGTCCACTCCATCTCCTGCAGTGTACCGGTCTTCCTATTCATGGAAATATCAGTATCATGGTATGACGTAAAGCAAAAAAAAAAAGAAGTAAAAGCTGGGTATTTATAAACCAGGCGAGGCGAAGACGCTACGAGTTCCTGTCCCAAACGTGCCAAAGCTTGCGATCCAGAAAACCAAGCCGATTTATCACTGTCGCCTATAGTTTGTTTCTATGATAGATTTGTCACCGAAACATCTATAAATAACAGTATTATATATCAAATATGAAGCAAGATTGGACCTGACTGCGAACGCATCGCCTCGCGCACAGGTCACTGTCGCCTCCCTCCATCACATCTAAGCTTAAGTCCAGAAACATGTGTGACATCCTTATAATGGCAGAAGGAGTGGAGCGCAATGAATCCCGAGTTGATGCACAGCCCACCGTCCCCTAACCCCTGACACGTTTACGGAGGACTGCGACGGAGGACACCCTCGCTTGTTCAGACCCACTCCTGCCTTTCAATTTGCGGGCAAAGGAGTGCGGCTGAGCACGTGCAAAGGGGATCTGTCACAGCGCGCGCAGCCTTAGTATTAACATTATAGATACACCCTATTAGAATTTAACGCTGCGACCATGACACCAATCAGGACAGCAACAAATAATCTATATTTATAAATTGTGCTTATATGCTTTTTCAGTAGTCTATTATTTGAAAATATTTCAAAATTACACCACACACAGTTTGTACCATGTGTATTGAATATTGTCATGGTGGATTTCCGTTGGTCATTCATGTATTTTTATCATTGTGGGAAACTGGAGCCGCTCTCCGCGGTGCTGAAAGTCCGCTGGACCAGGCGGGGGAGCATCCAAGCCCCCTGCGGGAAACAGCGGGACGAGGAGCTCGCAGCCTCTCCAGCGCTGTTCCTGATTTCCACACAATTAGAGGCTACGCATGGAGAACTATAAATAAATAAAGCTCAGTGGCTGGCTTTTAATCTGCAGTGTTTGCAATAAGAGCCACAGTCGGCTTTTTCTTGTATTGTATTACCCTCCTGCTGAATGTCTATGAATTTAACGATTGTACGCTAACACATATTTGAGCAACTAAAATTGATTTACCAATAATGTTAATTTCACCTTTATTTTTATTTTCGGTGTTTTCCTCTATAAAAGTCGAATAATTTCTGATCATAATAGAAAAGTGATGGAGGAAGTAAGAGGAAGTGATGAAAAGAGGAATCTGACCGTCTATTGTATTGCAAAATAATTGTAATTGTAATGAAAATAATAATGAAAGTGTAAAGAATGACGTGATGGATTTGTTGGACGAGACACCCTTAGAATTGTTTGCAACCTTAGTGCCTAATTCGGGATTGGCACTCCAGCCACCAGAAAAAAACTCACACTGGTCCATTGGGACTAGTGTGGTGCTGAGGTATCACCCACTGCATGGCTGCACTCGGGTTTTCGTCCCTGAGGTGGTTTGTCATGTAGCGGGTGCAGCAACGTGCTGTAATCAGTGCATGCTCCGTACCTCTTACTGTCTTAGTGCTTATTACCGTTATAGCATAATAGTATAATAATATATGACATAATTATAGCATAGAATCGTGGCATGACTAGGAAGGAGCTGTATTGAATGTAGCTTCATTACCAGGGGTGGACTAACTTCTCTGGGGGCTCTTGGAGGACATGGGTAGTCCCTTTCTAAGTGGGTCATTTGAGCTGGGCCTATTTTTTGGAGCCGAAAGACAAACAAGAAGGAATTAAAACAAGAGGGAATTAAAAACGTTGGAATATCAATAATATTATGACCCTGAAGGGCTTAATCACTCAGACCAGCGTGCATTGCGCCGGATTGTACATAATGTAAATACTTGTGCAAATAATGTCTGTGATATGTAGTTATGTCAGTGAATGTAAGCGTGTCACACTCTCGTGAAGTGTGGAGTATTGTGTTTCCCTGTTTTGGTGAGCTTGTAAACCATATTTACTGTCATTTGTGTTTTTGTGTATTTCTTCAGTATGCAAATCTTTCCACGCTGATTTTGCAACACTGGTTACAATGGATTTCTCTCTTCCATGCCCTACAAATGAAATGACGGTGGACAGTGGAGAGGGACAGCAACTAACCAGAGGAAAAACCCTGGGAATGAAGCGTAGCACTTTCCTGGGGCAACCTGATAGGTTTAGGGCTCCTCATTTACCGTGCTATCTGGAGATCAAGTAACTGCTCCACAGCTGCCTGCGTGAAGGGCTGGGATGAAGACCACCTTGCAGCTCCCGTGTTACAGTGGGAAAGAAGCCCTGGAGCCTTACCTCTCACAAGTGTCCCTGGCAGCCCGGCACAATGCCTGGAGTGATGAGGAGACCATAGTGCACCTGGGGCTGGTGCTGGAGGGGGTGGCGTTCCAAGGCCTCCGCAATCTGGCCCCTGATTAGCAGTGGAACTTTGCCACCCTGGTGGTGGCACTGGAGCAGCTCTTCAGTCAACGGCCATCAGAGGAAGTGATGAAAGAAGAGCTGGCAAGTCAGCGGAAGCAGGGCAGAGAAACCTTGGGGGCATTTGCAGCAGATCTCTGCATTTATGTGCATAAGGGCTATCCACACTTCCCCAGAGCAGTGCAGGATGAGCTGGCTCTCCATGCCTTTGTCAAGGCACTGGCACTGGAGTAACTGTGCCAGCATGTACAGCTGCATGCACCAACTACACTTAGTGAAGCCTTGGTGGAGCTGGAGAGAGCGGAGGCGATTCTGTCCACACCTGTACATTCGCACTCCCCGCCAGCCATGGCTTGTCAAAACTGCACCTGTGAGGCTGGGGGCTTCAGTGGTGATGAGAGCCAGTAGATCCAAACAGCCTGCACCAAACCATGGCGGAGGCGTTGATCATCATGTGATGCCCCTTGCTGCCACTGTGGAGACAGGTGTGGCACAAAGACAGCAGTGGAGCAGTGCAACCATCCCTGGAAACGGCGGAGGCTATCATGGTCAAGTGGTGGAATAGAAGATTCAGGATATGGCAGCACCAAGTGTCATTGAACTATAAGACAGTTCAGGGGCTGTGCCGCCAGTCCTGGTCTGGAAGAAGGACGAGTCATTATGCTTTTGCATGGACTTCCAGCATCTGAATGCTGTGACATGGTAGGACTCATCTATTGCCCTGAATCAATGATGCACTAGATGACTCACTGGGTCGACATTGTTTAGCTCCCTATACCTCCAAAATGGCTACTGGCAGGTCGAACTAGTCCCAAATGCCTGATCTAAGACTGTTCACTGTCGGTCATAGTCTAAGGCACTTCTGGTTGATGCTGTTGGGGCTCTGCAATGCACCAGCCATCTTTGAGAGGTTGATGGCATGAGTGCTGGCCCACATGCCCTACTGCCAGTGTGTCATCTACCTCAATGACCTGCTCACCCACCCTGCCTATTTTGACACTGCGCAGAATAACCTGTGGAAGATTGCTGCGGTCAGAAACTGGCCCATTTTGCAGTGTCATGGAGCGCTGCAGCTTCCTGATTCTTGCCTTATACTTCTGGCAGTTTTTTCGAGAGTTTTCCTGCTGCCTCAAAGAGAAGGGGCAGCACTTCAAGTGGACCAGAGACTGCGCTGCTGCCTTCAACCACCTGAGGACTGCACTTACAGAAGCCCTTGTGCTGGCATACCCTGATCCCACCTCCGACACCTTGTCGGTTGCCTGCGGGTTCCCCGACGTCGACTCGTTAGTCGGTTGTGCCTTCGCCCGCTGTGGCTATGCTGTCGCCTGCCGCAGCTCCACCTCCCTCCTTACCTGCGTCGGGCTCCCCTCCGACTCCCTCCTCGTCTCCTCTGGTGCCCCCTCCGTCTTCCTCCTTGACTCCTCCGTTTGTCCCTTTGCCTGTCTCCTTGCCCCCTTCATGGTCCCTTCCTGCTTCCTCCTCCCGGTCGCCTAAAGCCCCTCCAGCTGCCGGCCATCGTAGCTCCCCCGGGCTCCCCTTGTTCCTCCGCCCTTCTCCCTCCTGTTTCTGCTCCTTGTCCCTCTGTCTCTCCTCCGTTCCCTCCTGGTCCCTTTGTCCCTCCTGCCTCTGCTCCTCATCCCTCTGTGCCTCCCACGTTCACTCCTGGCCCTTTCGTTCTGCCTGTTGGTGTTTCCCCTGTTTCTCCCTTCCTCATCTGCCTGTCTGCGTTTCCCGTTCTGTGTCAGGTTCTGTCCTGGTTGTTGCCCTTGTGCCTGTTTTGTATGTCTGTCCTGTTCCCAGTCCCTCGTTGATGTTTTGCTCTTGTTTTTCAGGTCCCGTGTCCCCGTCGCCTCCCCTGAAGCACGCCCAGAATGCGCGCCTTTGGGGGGGGTTCTGTCATGCCTGGCTCGTCTGATCCTCCTGTGTGCCACGCCCTCCTTGTTACCTCGTGTTACTTCTAGTGATGGCCGATTCATGAAAGAATCGTTCTTTTTAACTGGATTACCGGTGCTGAGAACACCCGAACGGCCAAGTACCTGGTCTCTAACTCGCTGACTCCAAAACACCCGAGAGCCTGTTCGATGAACGAATCGAACTTACGGGTTTTTGGACACTCCATGACTCAAAAGAACCTGTTCGATGAATGAATTAGAAATTACGGGTTTTCGGACACTTGGTCGGTGACTCAAACGAACGGTTCGCGAACCTATCCCAAGAGCCCTCGCGGCGTTTACTGTGGAAATGCAGTTACGCTGTTAAAAGGAATAAAATAAACGCAATTCTTCATCATTTATCACAACAGTAAATTATTGCATTTCTGTATAATAAAACTATATGTCTTTCATCAAAGAACAAACTATGATATTTATTAACTTTGACATTTACACAACAACGTATACAAGTTTTCTCATGCTCATTGTATGTGTACAGTATGTGTGATTGTATTATTGGTAATATTGCAGTTCTTGTTAACTGTGATGTAGTCCTTGATACTCATGCACATGAATTTGGCTTAAGTAAAGAAAATAAGAACTAAATATACACACGAGTTTATTCAGCATCGACACCCTTTCTACTTTTTATATATTGATTTTTTTTAT